TCTCAAAATTTGGTGTATGTGAGCATTTTCATTCACTCTTGGAAGGCAATGAGGAGTATATTGTAAAAATGTAAATAATGTAAAAATTTTCACACTCTGTTTACTGGGCATTCCTGGAATACCTGTACACAGACAGCATCAGTCCTTAGGAGGTAGTAGGATTTCTCGACTTGGCTACATTTTATAAATAAAATCATTTGAAAAAAGTTCTGCCAACAAACTATCAAGCAAGGCATCTGCGAGCAGAATGCAATCACTCTGCTCTCGGCTGCTGTGAAGTATAATGCCTGTGACCTGGAAGAATTCTGCTTCAGGTTTTGCATAAACCATCTGACCATAGTAACAAATGTCAGGCTTTGCATAAATGGATCATGATCTCCTGAAGAACTTTATCAGCAAAGAAAGCAGAGTTGAAGTCTTTAAAAATGGATCCCGTCTTCAGAGAAGGAGTTTCTGAACCTTTATGTTTCCCCTGCAAAAGCCAGAGATAAATAATTTCTCTTGAATTAATAGAACATATGAAGAGTTACATTTGACTGAGCACTTACATCTGTCAAAAGAAGGATGATGGTAATTTTCATCTGCCTAATCCAGAGTTTATGTAGAATGCATTGAATGCTCTGATCAGATGTGAGTAAGGGCAAGGAAAAAAAGTATCTTATTTACCATTTCCTCTTTTGCATCACTTAAGCCAAATATCTTTTGTACCCTGGTCTCAGTATATGCTCTTCTGGCCCAAATGTTCCATTATTCAGCAGGCTGATAACACACAGGCAGCCTGATAAGGAGTGCTGTTACTACCACATTTTCAGTACCCAGCATGGTGCCTTGCTTATAGTAGGCACTCAATTTATTATATATCTTTAGTATGCCCAGATAATAGCTTTAGTTGTAGAGTACTGGATGAAGGGATAACTTGCACAAAATAAATCTAAACTACTCTGAAAATATTGAAGTTCTTATTCTTCTGGTATGTCATTCTGAGAAATAGTAGCTAATTTAGAGCATTAATTACAATTCACCAAAAGGCCTTGGCTATTAAATTGTCCAAGATCCAAGGGCTAATTTTGATTTTCTGTTTACTCTGAGTCATTTCTCACACAGGATTATTGAGTATAAAGTATTATTTTGAATGAAATCCCTAGACTGATCTGCCTGACATAATGACATAAGGTCCTTTTCTCTGTGTTAAAAGGGATTTGCCTCTGTAAGTGAAGATGACTACATGTTTTGCTTGTAGTTGACTTCCATGTCACCATAAAATAGGTCTTTAAACCTGCCACTAGTGTAATTATAAAGCATTATCTGAAAAGGAGCTAATACTTGTATTTCATGGACAGCATTAATATGCATGAGATAAACTTATACTATTTATTTGCTTAGAGATGAAGTCTTGCCTTGTTGCCCAGGCTGGAGTTTAGTGGTGCAATCTCAGCTCACTGCAACCTCCGCCTCCCAGGTTCAAGGGATTCTCCTTCCTCAGCCTCCTGAGTAGCTGTGATTACAGGTATGCACCACCATGCCTGGTTAATTTTTTGTATTTTTAGTAGATGTGGGGTTTCATCATGTTGGCTAGGCTGGTCTTGAACTCTTGACCTCAAGTGATCTGCCTGCTTTGGCCTCCCAAACTGCTGGGATTACAGGAATGAGAATTTATACTTTTTAGATCAAAGCAAGTTACCCAATTGCAAAAGAGAAACTGGAATGAAACATAGTGTCAGATTCTTCTAATATGTATCTCACAATATAATATTATATAAATAAAACTCCTTTGGAATTAGGTACCTTGTTCTGATGCTAAACTATTTGATAATAAGGTGCTTATTTGCAGACAACAACAACAAAAATCATCTAATGAAATTCTTTTGTTTTATGGTGAAAGACATTGAGGCCCAGAAAATGTGACTCACTCAAGGTAAAGCAAAATAAACCTCTAAAAATCAAACAAACTAAACAGATATAGATTCTTGCTTTTAGAAATTAAGATACCTGACTCCCAATCACAGGCTTTTCCCATTCTGGAAAGGGAAGAAAACATGTGGAGTAAGCTGAGAAATATGGCTACCAGTCTATGGTGAGATGGTGGATGATCTTCAGAGGTCACTCAGGAAGGATGTGGTTACCACTAAGCCTGATCACATGTGAATCACAGCTGATAAAAATATTGCATCTTCTTGCAGGAGTAGTTTCATCTTTTAGAATAGCTAATGCTAAGATTTGTTTTTGTAAAACTCAGAATAAAATACAAGAAACAAGAATATACTGAAATAAAAACAATATGGTATAAAATAAAAAGAAAAATGTTTAAAAAGGTGGCTTTCAGATGTAATATTTTATGTACACACATATCCAGAAATATATATATATATATATATATATATATATGGATATGTATAATTTAATATATATATAAATATACTTAGAAAGATACATAAATTTAGGTGAAATAAACAATATCATGGAATAAGTACCAAAATTAATGCAGTGAGACAAACTTCATTTACAATATTTAATTTCCAAACCCTGGTAGTAAATATAGGTGTTCAATGTAATGAATTTTATATGGTTTTGCAGTTCTGCAGTTGTTCATAATAAAAATGCAATCATTTGATGGATAAAGAAATTTGGACAAGATAAAGAAAAACTTAAAAAAAAACTAAGAATTATTAGTTAAAAACACTGGAGGCTTTAAAGGACAGAATTGAATAAAATTAGTGATTCTGAGAAAAACTTGATTACCAAGTGCACAGGTCAGAGAAAAAGACAAAATGATAAAAGCAGTGACAGAGAAGATGATAGGCATTGAAGAAACATATAGGTAACAGATTCTATGACAAGATTAAAACAAAGCAATAGACACATCAATATTCAAAGGCATGCTAGAAGAAAACTTGGGTTAAAGAAACATGTAAATGCAGACTAAAAGAGTTCACTGTAAAGTTAAAATCAAGGGGGATACTTTGAAAACATATGCTTGCTAAGTTATTTTCATTATAGAGATGAAAACAGAACCATAATAATATAAAGCAAGTATATAAGCAGAAAGTTAATTATTTTTTTAAAAAAACCACAATAGGTTACCTATAAATATATAAAAACTAAGGTGACTTTATACAACTCTGTTATAATGCTAAACTACAGAAGAAAATAGAAAAATGTCTACAGAATTTTGTGGTAGAAAAATATTTTAACCTTTTGTGTTAAGGCAACAAAAAAACATCCTGAGACACTCAAGGGTGCAAACAATATTCAACACATATCTCTTCCTGAAAAAAAATTACTTGGAACATACCAAAGGGCTAAGAGTTACGTTAAAAAAGTGGAAGACACAGTTAAAATTAGATAAATGTAAATTAACTATGGGAAATATATATGTATTATGCCAATGCCAAAAAAGCCACTTGAAGCTACTGAGTATTACACTACACTTAAGATATTTGCATTTTTATAATTATGAAAATACACATGTGTTACTTTGTGATATGAATAAGTATCCCATTACAACATTAAACATTCTCAGGTTCCATGTATACCTGAGACAAGTCTTGTGGAGTATGTGGTCAGTAATCTTCCCTTGGCTTCATCCTCAGACTGATTTGTTTGCTTTTGTTTTGAGTGTTCAGAACTCTTTGAACCACACACTGATGATGTCATGATTTCATAGGGTCTAGGACCAGGTTTTCATTACCTAGAGTTTCCAGGGACCTTTCCTTTGAGGTAGGAATAGAGTGGCAGGATACGGAAGGTATTTTTAAAGTGCTTATCTTGTTTTTAATTTTTAATTTTTGTGGGAGTACATAGTAGGTATATATATATTTATGGGGTATATGAGATACTTTGATACAGGCATACAATGTATAATCACACCAGGGTAAAAAGGATATTCATCACCTCAAACTTTTATCCTTTGTGTTACAAACCATCCAATTACACTCTTTTTTTAAAAGAGTTATTTTTAAATGTACAATTATTGACTACAGTCACCCTTTTATGCTATCAAATACTATAAAAGTGCTAATTTTGATTAAGCTTATTAAGGGCACATTGTATCCCAAATAAACAATCTTTCTTAGCTAAGTTGATTGCTTTGTTAAGGAAAGAAATTCACACATAAACTAAAATGGCAAATATGGGTAGAAAGCACAAAAAGAAGGATTTGACTCCAGAATTCCTCCATAAATGGAATTTATGGACAATCTTGTTGTACATGGAATGGAGGAGAACTATGAAACTTTCTTGAAGGTGCACTCCATAGAAAGCTTACTGTTTTTATAGAATTTACCTTTTTGTATCTACACACTAAAAAATTGTTAGTGCTTTTATTTATATTAATACTTCACATAATTTTTTATGATTATATACTATTATTATCACTATGATTATTGTTTTCATTTGGTTTGGCTCTGTGGGAGATATGATGATGCTGATGGAGGTTTTGACAGAGCTAAAGATATGTTACATCTTGACAATGGCTGAAGGAAAGACTTCACAGTCTATCAAGGCATAAATACCAGCAATCTGTTTTCACCCTACTCCAAAGCACTTCTTAAATCACATGAGCACTCTAAAATGTAATGAGAACCACACCACTGTTTTGCAATCTCTAAGTGTCAAATTAAAATATGAGTGAAGGATTGTGTATTCAAGTCAATGGGAACTCTGATTTGAGTAACATATTTTCCCTTCAGGCAGTGTACAGATGACAGAAGGTGTTAGCACAGAAAACTTAGCTTTGGGTGGGACTTGCAATTAATTCAAATTAATTCAAATCTGAACTGAGTATTTTTATTTTCAAGACATGTCACTAAGCAGTGAAAAGTCAAAAAGATAAAGCCAAAACTTGGAAATAACCCACATGTTTTTCAGTGAGTGAATGGTTAAACAAACTGTGGTGCATGCATACCATGGGATGCTACTCAGCAATATGGAGAAATAAACTTCATATATGCAACAACTTCTGTTGACCTCAAGGACATCATACTGAGTGAAAGAAGCCAATATCCAAAGGCCACACACTCCATGATTTTATTTATGAGACATTATAGTGACAGAGAACAGATAAGTGGTTGTCAGGGATCAAGTTCAAGGAGAGCTGGGGTTGGTGGTGGTGGTTGTAGACCATCAAGGAATAGCAAGAGTGAAATTAATATGGTAATGGACAGTTCTATATCTAATTTCTTCTGTTTCCAAGCTACTTAAGATTTATTAGGGAGGTAGACTTACACAACACTCTCCAAAAAGATAATTCGGAAGCATATTAAAAAGTGATTTAGAAGAAGGAACAGGAATTCTAGGGCATATAGTTCAAAGAAACCTTTTCAAAAATGGTGGTATTGTGGCCAGACTTTGGAAGATGTGAGTTAACCTTCCTATGACAGGAGAATGTAGAGGTGATTAAAGAATGTAGAGGTGATTGAACAAATCCCAGATGGTGAAATACTTTTCTTGTTCTTTGGTTAATGATTCTCAGAAAGGCCATCATTTTTGAGCAAGACTTTGCCTCTCTGAAATTGATTATACCATTTGAAGGAAATTCACCAGAGTTCAGAGTCAGAATTTACATTTGACATGAATTTATATTGAATTACATTAATGTTATTATTTACCTTGTTCTATTAAAAATAGTAATGGGATCTTGAGGTTTGAGAAACTAGAGTAATCTGGTAAGTCTGTTACAAGGTTGTGAGCCAAATTTCTTGCTTTGTATAAGTAAGAAAAATCAAAGAAACATTGTCAACATATCCAAAAATTCATATTACAGGTATGTGGCCAAGTTCCCCAACAGTATAGTATTGCTAGACTCTATTCCTGCTTGGAAGTGATCTTGGTATTTCAGATACAATAATGAAATATATTACAATTAATCTGACTAGCACCTAGCTCTAGTATTAGGACATTTTTCTGGACCCTAGAGGCCTCCAATGCAGGATTCTCCTCCTAAAAATAAACTTTTTAAGGCTTCTAGAGCCATCAGTTATTTAGTCTACATCTTTTATGTCTATCTTCCTTTACTAAATATTAAGTTTGTGAGATTTAGATAAGTTGCAGCATTGTATCATTACTATATTAAAAACTTTAAAGTATAAATCACCCATCATGTTACTACCCTGACACAACTAATTTTATTTTTATATGACTTCATTTTTTATTTTATACAAATGTTTTATAAAGTCATATAATTGTTTTAATATTTGTACATATTTGGGATCACATAGTTCTACCTGTTTCATTTTCTTCTCGTCACATAACATTATATCATGGGTATTTTTCCATATTACCACCTGGTTTTCATGGTGACCATTATTCCCCATCAACACATACACATTAAATTAAATAATGCTAGTTTTGAGAGAAGAATGTCTCCAGTGGCAGGCAGCTTGTAGATTTGCCAGCAGGGCAGGGCAGTATTATGGAACCGGCTCTGGATTTTCCAGCAATCATCTCTCTTAGAGAGCACAGAAGGATATCAGACTGCATCAGAACACTTGATCAGATTTACAAACTTGCTCGGCATCTTTTATTGTTGTCTTCCAATCCATTTTCCATGCAGCAGCCAAAGTGATATTTATAAAAATATGGTGATCAGGCTTCCTTTAGGTAAAAATATTTTTGTGGCTTTCCACTGCTTTTAAGACGAAGGAAGAAAATCCTTAATGTTTAGAGATTATCTAGCCTTTTACTTTCTGCTTCCATCTTTAGCTTAACCTTTCATTGTCAGTTTCTTATCTGTCACTTTTTCATGGAATGTTCAAACCCCTCAAAGATCACAAAGCCTGTAAAGGGGGCATTACATGCTAAACAAGCCTTCCTATGATTATAAAATGATATCGATCTATAGATGCTGCAAGATTTATTTCTGCTGCAATGAGGAAGATTTTATACACGTATCCTATTATGGGTTCAAGAATTCATTTGCCCAGATAGCCAGGGATAAGATTATAAGAGGCTATAACTTCTCAGGAAGAATCTTTGGGGACTTTTTTGAATTTCTGATGTTGAAAATATCTTAAAAAGTAAAAATGTCTAGTACATCTTCAGGATACCTAAGAAAATTTTGTAAAGAAGTTACAGGCCCACCTCCTAATCCCACACTCTATCCATTGCCCTAGCAACCCGTATAAATAAAATGACCATAGAAGTTTCCATATAGGACCTTAATGGAATTTCACTGTTCCTTTGAAATTTCAGACATTTCTATACTTCATGGTATACACTAAAAATGATAATTTAATTAAATACCAAATAGAATAGCAACTTATTTATCTTTTTGCCCAATCTGCCTCATGGGACCGGTAGATGGTCCCATGCAAAGATGTCTCTAAACATAAATAACACTAACACGATGAACTTGGAAAACAAACTTCATTATGCTTCTCCCCCATGGTGCTGGAGGACAACCTCATTCTTGGTTAGTATTTTTCCTAAAGTCCCTTATGGGCTTGGAAGCAACTTTTGACTGAAAAGTAAATGCAATGTATAGCATTTAGGAATATGCCTTCATTAAAGCTATGATTTCACTGTACATCCGTTGAGGGGCATCAAGGCCCCAAACAAAATCAAAGTGGTTCCAATCGGGCAATAGCTTAAAGTAATAAAGACTCTTGATTTGAGGCAGTATCCTGGCCACATCCTGGGGTGTTACAAGGACGTCATGTCCACCAGCCCAAATAGCAGTAGGCACTTTCATGGCAGTCAGGTCATATATAGGGGGACGAATCTGTGGGAGAGAAAGCAAGGGCATTCGTGAGAGGAAGCTCCTCAAAGCAATAACTACAACAGCTGCTAGATAAATATAGACTATGGCCATAGTTCTGTTAGGTACCAAGAGACATAGGAAGAAAACATACAATGGTCTCTACCTTCAAGAAGTTTGCTAAAGAGGGCACAAGGCAAGATAGCTAAACAAGTATTTGTATAGAAAGTATGATATGTTAAATGTCATAAACACTCCCAAAATAAAATGAAAGTAAAGACAAAAAAATATTTCTACCTAAAGGCTTCATAAAAAGAGGGATCATGTGAAATGACTCTTGAGGGAAGGTTGCATTTTGACAGGCAGAAATGGGGGTGGGTGGGAAGCAGGAAGAGTTTGTAGGCTGTGATCAGGAATGGCAAAATTTCCAATGTACCTGGGGAAAAGAATATGTAAAGGAAGATAGTAGGATATAAACTTGGAGGCAGATAATCAAGGTCCAAATGTCAGGCTAGGAAATTTGGACATGTTTTGAAAGTTAGGGGGACAAGGAAGGGTCATTTCTCAGAGATCTGTCTTCAGACTGTTGTATGGGCAACAGTTAGTGGGATCACCTTGGATTTTGGCCAAGCTACGTATCCAGCCAGGAAACCCCAATTATACACTGTTACTGAAGTGTAGAGCTCCTGAAGTCTCTCAATGCATCTATCAGTTCTATGACAGCATTTTGAAAAACTAGCAAGACTGGTCCAGTACCCTCCAGTCATGCTGTGATCAGTGCAAGCCAAGAACTCCTAACTGGAAGAAATTGTATTGCTGTGTAGAATCTGAACTCAAACACACTGAGGCCACCCAGCAAGGTAGTAACTAGTCTAACCTGTGCTAACATTAGGGCACAACCTGTTGGATAGTTTAAGCTTCCTGTGAACATTTGTAACCACTGCTCCCATCACCTCCCACCTCTCACCACCTGCTGCTGCTGTCTGTTCTTACTTGTGGGCTTCTCCATGCTGCACCAATGGCTGACTTTTTCTACACCCCTTTTTGAGTGTAGTTTGGTATTTTGTAATTGAACATTCATTTCAAAAGCAGAAAAAACAAATATTAAAACAAGGAAAAGTGTCACTGAAAAGAAAAAAAAGAATAGTTTGAAGGTAAGTCCTGAAATAAATCTAGACAAGCAGTAGAAATGCTCCAAATTGAAGCTATGGGTATGGCTGACTTCTCCAAGGAAGAAAGTTTTGAAGAATCCCTGGGGAATGCTAATCATTTCAGAGTGGTGGGAAGAGGAGCAGTCAGTGTGTGGGACAAAGGGAGCAATCACAAACAGAAGGAAAAATCAGAAGTCCAAGTCAGGGGACTGAGTAGCAAGGAGACTGTAACTAACATAACACATTTCAAAAGGTGAAAATAGACCATTGAATTTGGCAATTAAAAGCCATGGGTGACTTTAAATAGGGTAGCTACAGTAAAAAGATGAAGAACTAAACTATGTTTTACAAGGTTGAGGAGTGAGTGGAAGAAGCCCTCTTCAATATTGAAAATATGTTGATTAGAACAGAGTGACCTAATGATAACTTGATAGAATTAATGGTCTTGTTTGTTTTTCATAAGGCACAGGAGAATGGAGCCAGGAAGAAGGGAAAGTGAGAAGAGATGGGATCAAGGGCACAGGACTGGGATAACTTAAAAAATAAGAGTACCATCATTTTCTGATAGAGAAAGGAAGGAGACAATCAAGAAGATAGAGACAGTTTGAGGTAGATAAGAGAAAAATTAAGAAATTTCCTTCATACAACAAGTAGACATTGAGGGTCTGGTAATTTTCATGAACTTTTCCAGTTGAGTAAACACTGGTGAACAAAATGGTGAGAAATCCCTACTGTCATGGAGTTTACATGGGTTAATCCTCTTATACTCAATAAAACATAGAGTGGGAACAGAGATGGTGCTGCAAACTTGAGGAGAGGGCAAACTGTTGAGACGAGCTTTTTTGGAGGGAATGTGATAAAAATTGCCATCAAATGAGATGAATTCACAAAATAGACTGACATGGAGCATCAATTCTATCAAGTAGGACCAGCTAACAGCCGACAAATTCCAAGGATATTAACATTCTCACATACTTTAGAACTTGACTATAATGATCTTGAGTGTGTGTGTATTTTGTTTCATTCTCTTGTAAATGTAAACAAATTATAAATATAATATGTTTATTAAAAATAATGGAAAAAAAGACATGTAAAGTCCCAAATGAGAGCCCCTTACTGTTTCATGTACATCATGAAACAGTACTTCTTTTCTTCTTTCTTCTCCTCTCTGAAGATAAGCACTTTAACATTTACTGTTTCTTTTCTAGTCCTTTTCTTAGCATTTGCAAATACATGCCTTTATGTCTATAGTCTGAAGAGCAGAAAAAAACTTTTGGGGTGATAGAAACATCCTATATTTAGATTGTGGTATGGTTACACAAAGAAATATATTTTTCAAAACTCATTGAATGGGACACATAAAATTTGTACATGTTATTGTATGTAAAAATCACATCTTAAACTGATTTTTAAAAATAAAGAGAATATATATAATCTATCTCTTGTAGTGGTTTTAAGGATTAGTAGAACTATTCCTGTAACCAGCCAATTCATTATGGAGAAATTGGCTGGTCTGACTGACTGTTTTGATCCTCAGAAACAACTTATTAATAATTGATCTATGGTTGTGCCAGTAAATAGCTTAAAATATGTTACCCTAGGAAAACACTGAAAACAATTTAACTTCATGTGCTTAGTTCATACTTATAAGCCAAGTCCCTGGCTGTGAGAACAGAAAGGTGGTGACAGGATTAATTAAAAGTACAGTGCTAAATGAGTCTACAGATTTTTATGTCATAAAGCTATATGGAAAAAGATGCCTTATGACCCAAGTCTTCATTGTTAGGTGATACTTATTCAACTTTCATGTGGAATTCTATTTTTCTGTTGCTATTACAAAGTGTATATTCATTTATGCTGCAAATGTTTTTATGAAACAATTTCTATTATGCAGCCATTAAAAATTTTTTTGGCAGGGCAGTGGCTCACGCCTGTAATCCCAGCACTTTGGGAGGCCAAGGCGGGTGGATCACAAGGTCAGGAGTTTGAGACCAGTCTGGCCAATATGGTGAAACCCTGTCTCTACTAAAAAATACAAAAATTAGCCAGGTGTGGTGGTGTGTGCATGTAGTCCCAGCTATTCCTGCTGAGGCAGGAGAATCGCTTGAACCCGGGAGGCGGAGGTTACAGTGAGCCAAGATTGCACCACTGACTCCAGCCTGGGTGACAGAGCAATACTCTGTCTCAAAAAGAAAAAAAAAAATTAAAAAGATCCCTCAGTAACACTGATCATCTCTTACTATAGCTTAAGCAAAATAGATTACAAGTTGTATAAAAGTAATATAATACAGAGAAAATTGGAATAAATAAACCAGAATGTTAGTACATCTAGTTATCTCTGAATGGAAGGATTACACATGATCTAATTTCCTTTGTATATGATTCTTTTATTTATAAATTTTCTGAAATAAATGCAGATTAAAATTAAACTATTTTAAAAACAAAAGTTCCATCAGTTAAATGCCACCAAATGACAGGTAGGATTCTTTCCACATTCAAATAATTTTTCATTATACTTTCTCAAATTCACCATTCGGCAGTTACTGTAAATAGCTCACCTGATTGTAATGTTTCATATTATCGGCTTCATTTCCCCAGTCATAAGCTCTGAATTCATCAGATCGGTAAAGCTGAAACAAATGTGTTTTAGAAAAAGCATAGTTAGGGTAAGACTCATAACAGCTAACAGCAAATTTTAGAAAAATAGTGCATGCTAGGATGAAAATAGGGCTCCTGGATCACCAGAAAAATGTAAATACCATTTTACAATTATGACAAGTGGGGCTCGACAGAAAGACAAGCAATTGGTTTAAAGAAAAAGTTCATGGAAAGCCAAGCCTAATTAGAAAGAAGTTAAATCCCAGATACTTCCCTCTGGAGAAGTCTCAGTTCTTCTGAGGCTTCCCTAGTTTACCTCTTGGTTCAGTTCAGGGCCTATTTTACAAACTGATTCAAGAAGGTATTCATTTATGTCATCTACTTGGTCTGTGCCATAAAATACTTTCTCTTAAATTCCAGAGAAATCAAGGCATAAAGATGGCAGCAAGGACACACTGGAAGCAAACTCTTAAGATTTTTAAGGTAGGCCTGTTAACAGGGTCAATTCTGTTTTTTTAAAATATAATGGAAATAAGAATTGGAATGGATTTTTCGTAACTAAGACTCTACCTGTTTTATATGCAGAATGTTCTGTATTGATGAACCAGTGGGAGCATGTGACATATACACATCCATTCGACTCTAAAGGAAATAAAACTCATATTACAGCAACAATCGCCAAACAAAATAGAATTTGCCTTTCAGAATCAGAGAAAAATGATGCACAGAATTAGCAAACAAAACTGGGGATTTGAAAATAATGAGGTAGAATTATCTAGATAAATATGCCATTTATATCAATACTTGAATGTGAGTGAACCATAAACTGACTAATGGAATGGGTCGCTTGACAGCAAACCTGAGTCAGCTCCGAATCTGTAGGATAATTTGCTTATTTTGAGGTAGAAGGAACAGTAATAGTCATCATGGATCAAAATAACTAGGAAAGGTTCTATGTGCAAGTAGGGGGGTGATGCATGCTTGCACACGCAGGTGCACTGTCACAGGTTCAATTACAAACTAGAGTTCAGGCCCTGTTGTTCTTAATGATCCACTTCGTGAACTTGGCCACCACATTTAGCATCTTTGAGTTTATATTTTTTCATCTAGTAAATGAACATATTAAAAGTCATACTACCAATTTACTATTCTTTTATGGGAATAAAATAAAATATTGCAAATGTAAAGCTAAAGGCCATCTTTTCCCAAAGATTATTTCAATCTTTGTAAACATTATGGAGATAAAAATTATAAAATAGTAATCATAATTCTATGTCTTAGAAAATAATGAATCTAATTAAGAGAAACTATTACAAATCTTTACTTTTGAACAAGCCAACTTTGAACAATTTTTTTTATGGTTTTCAGTCTAACACAATTTAGCTTCTTAGAGAATAGGGATAGAGAACAGTTATCTTGGGACTGCCTTCACTGTAACAGCCTCATTGGCTGCTATTTGGAATACAGTAGAGACAATTATTCAACCACACCAGTCTGCAGATGTGAACCTTTCTTCCTCCTTCTTCTTGAATTCTTAATAAGAGAAAACCAACAGGTGATAAAATAGGACTGCTGCTTCTTCATAAAGAGGGGTTCCCATCTCTGTTCCATCCTGTCCTGTTATTTTCCACGTTAAGTGGTGAGTTTCATTTCAAACAAAAGTCACCCACAAAGGAAGGAATATGTGAAATAAGATCAAGGCTTATATGTGCTTCTCTCCTTTTTTAGGATTTTCTTTTTAATGCAATATATTCAAATTAAATAAATTCAAATTAACTGTAGTAACTTATGACTGATTGAAAACACATAAGAAACTACTACCCACTATAAAACATCTGTTTTCCTAAATTTAACCAGGGAATGGAAGAATGAAGCTGCCTATTCACTTCCCCAGTCTTCATATTCAAGTTTTGTTGAGTAGTTAATCTTCTATGTATAGCAGACATCTACCTTCATGGTTCAACATAAATTTTGGGCTTTTAAAAATTTTATTTTTGTGAAGAACACCATTGGTATTTTGATGGGAATATCATTGAATCTGTAGATTGTTTTAAATATTATGTATATTTTAACAATATTGATTCTTGCAATCCATGAATGTGGAATACCTTTCCATTTTTTAATGTCATTTTCCATTTCTTTCATCGGTGTTTTATAGTTTTCATTGTAGAAATCTTTCACTTCTTTGGTATGGTTTATTCCTAGATATTTTATCTTATGTGTAGCTATTGTAAATGGGACTACTTTCTTTTTTTCTTTCTTGTTTTTTTTAAAGATTATTTGCTGTTGGCATATAGAAATGCTGCTGAATTTTATATGTTGAGTTTTTTATCCTGCAAATTTAATGAATTTGTTTTTCAGTTCTAGCATGTGTTTTGTTGGAGTCTTTATGTTTTTCTAAATATAAAATTCTGAGCAAAAAGAACAAAGCTAGAGGCATCACATGACCTGCCTTCAAATTATGATACAAAGCTGTAGTAATCAAAACTGCATAATACTGGCATAAAAACAGACACATAGAAAATGGAACAGAACCCAGAAATAAATCCACACATTTATAGTCAGCTAATTTTTAGCAAAGGCACCAAGAACCTACATTGGGGAAAGGACAATTTCTTCAAGAAATTATGCTAGGAAAACTAGATATCCATATGCAGAAAATGAAATTAGATCTCTATCTCTTGCTATATACAAAAATAAAATAAAAATGGGTTAAAGACAAATTTAAGACCTGAAAGTATGAAACTACTAAAAAACAAACACTGCAGAAACACTCCAGGATATTGGTCTGGGCCAATTTGAGGTAAGCCCTCAAATGCACAGGCAACCAAAGCAAAGTTGAACAAATTAGATTACATCAAGCTGAAAAGCTTCTGCAAAGCAATGGAAACCATCAAAAAAGTGAAATAACCCACTGAATTGGAGAAAATATTTGTAAACTACTCATTTGACAAGGGATTAGTAACCAGAATATATAAAGAGTTCATACAACTCAATTGTCAAAAAAAAAATCTGATTTAAAAATGGGCAAAAATCTAAATAGACATTTCTCAAAAGAAGACATACAAATGGCCAAGAGGTACATTAAAATCATGTTCAGCATTACTAATCATTAGAGACATGCAAACCAAAACTAATTCCAGTTAAAATACCATCTAATACCATCTAATTCCAGTTAAAATAGCTTTTATCAAAAAGATAGGCAATAATAGATGCTGGCAAGGATGTAGAGAAAAGAGAACCCTTGCACAGACTTTTGGTAGGAATGTAAATTAGTACAGGCACTATGGGGAAGAGTATGGGTGATCCTCAAAAAGCAAAAAGTAGACTACCATATGATCCAGCAATTCCAGTGCTAGGTATATAGTCAAAAAAAAAAAAAAAAAAAAAAAAAAAAAGGAAATCAATACATGGAAGAGACATCTGCAACCCCATGTTTATTACAGCACTATTCACAATAACCAAGATATGGAATCAACCTAAGTGTCCATCAACAGATGAGTGGATAAATAAAATGTGATATATATATACACACACACACACAGTGGAATACTATTCAGCCATAAAAAGAATGAAATCATGTCATTTGCAATAATGTGGATGAAACTGGAGAACATTATATTAAGTAAAATAAGCCAGGTACAAAAAGACAAATACTGCATGTTCTCACTCATATATGGGAGTTTAAAAAAAAAACTGACCTTATGGAGACAGAGAGTAGAATGATGGTTACCAGAGGGTGGGAAAGGTAGTCGGGGTGTGGGAAGGATAAAGAGGCATTGGTTAATGGGCACAAAAATACAGTTAGAAGGAACAAAACCTAGCATGCACAATAGGATGGACTATAGTTAACAATAATTCATTGTATATTTCAAAATACCTAGAAGAGTCAATTAGAATGTCTCTAATAAAAAGAAATGATAAATGCTTGAGGTGATAAACATCCCAATTACCCTGATTTGGTCATTTCACATTGTGTGCTTGTATTAAAATATCACATGTACCCTGTAAATATGTGCAATTATTATATACCCATAAACATTTTTTAAAAGCAGAAAAAAATCTGTCTGCCTTTAAAAGTTTGGAATACCATATGGATTTATACAGTATATAGATATATCAAAATGAGTCAAAGGAAAGCTGGAATTTCTTAAGATATCAAATGGCCCTATAACTAGCACACATACCTGATTCATGTTTTTCTGATTGAAACCAGCCCATAAGGACATAAATTCTCTACATAACAACCAGAGTATCTTATTGTTGCAGATTTTGCTAGAAGGTGTCTTCTTTTTCTTATCTTCTAAAAAGAAACCTTTGGTACCAAAAAAAGCCTGTGAAGGCAAATAATAATTATCTTTGAATGAGATAAAATATTGAGAACTACCCATATGACAAGGAATTAGTAACCAGAATATGTAAGGAGCTCAAGTCAATAGCAAAAACAACAATATGCCCAAATAGCAATAGCAAAAAAAAAAAAAAATTCAAGAATCATCTTCAGAATTCTTGACATAACCTTCATTCTAGAAATGAGCCATGCTTTGGGGATCTATTTGTACTAGCTGATTCAGTCAAGGAGACCAAATTATTGAGGAAAAGTGACTTAGGAATCTATCTCCAAATGAGGAAGATTATCAAATATTATTTACAAGAAGATTGCAATAAAGGCCCTGAACCCCAAATTCACATCTCCATAGTGAAATTTCCCTGTATTCTGCCCAATCAGTGCTTACCAATATTTCTTTCTCATTAATTGGTAAGAAAGGCAAAACAGTTTCTTCTTAAGGTCAAATAATACCTTGAATATGAGGGACAATCGGGGTTTTCCATATTACCCATGCGCATATTGCATTCGAGTACTGTCTCAGATTAGCTAGTTATCAGGCTTAAAAAGTAGAGAATGGTGAACCAAAGGGAAGGAATCATTGAACAGAAAAGATATGATAATGTCACAAAGATGGTACAATTGAAGTAGTAGGAATATTGACAGTGGGAAATGTGAAACTGAGATAAGCCAGGAACATTATTTGCCTTATTGCTGACCTATGTAGGAAGAGCAACACATACAACAGATACATGTATTTACAAATAGATCTATCTATCTCTGATTTTAATTTAACAAATTAGTTTGCTCACTCTGCCCAAATATAGAAAGCATTAAAAGATAACTGATATCAATACATTTTGAAATAAACTAGAAAAGCTCTTGAATAAAGAAGTTACATCATTTGTGCTCTCAGTAAACAATACAATAAAACTATTTTCAGACCAATTATTAGGACCTATGGAAATTCTTCTTTGAGTTAGTTCACAAATAATTTTTTTTTCCATTTCTACCACTCCACCCCAAACCAAGGGCTCATTTTCTTATATATGAATTATTTTGGTATTCTAACTGGTCACCTTGACTTCAATTTTGGCCCAAATCCATTTTATCCATCATCCCGAATTCAAAGGCCAATTTGAATTTTATTAAATGCTATGTTCATTGTGGCAATGACCTTTTTAGAGAAACAAAAGCAAAGAGAGAACAAAACAAAACAACCCTTTATTAGATAAAATTCCAAACCTACAATTGGCAACCAAATGACTTTTTCCACTCTTGAAAAATAACCAATAAATATTTGAATTAATACTTGATCTGTAATACATTTAGACTTTGGAATCTTAGGTTTAGTAAATTAGGACAAGTTCCCATATTGGAAGGAGTATAATAGGTTTTTCTAATGTCAAAGTTGGACACATCAATGATTACAGGTAACAGTGTCTTTCACTTAGGCAATGTGAATTCATTGACCTGCCTGACTAAATGGAACAAAATACCTGCGAAAACAAGAAAAATTTTTGTTGTCATATAACACTCAGCTCAGATAGAAATTCTGACATATACTCAGCTCTGCTAATGACCTCATGTAGTAAATTGTTTTACAGAAATTGTAGATACTATGGCACAGACATGCACACACATGGGGACACACAAACACAAGCACATGCCCACAGTCTAAGTTCTATAGATTTTATCTAAATTTCCTACTTTTACTTTACTGTAGATTTGAAAACAGTAAGGATTTATGATCCAAAATGAGATCCTTAGGTACATTTTGGTGAAAGGAGCCTACCTTGATTATGGAATTTGGAAGTAGAAAAAAACTGGTAAAAATGCTGGCAGGATATTTGAATGAGATAACAGGACCCAAGGCAAAATTCATTTTGATTCTTTGTGCCAGTTCAGGCATGGTGGAAAAGGCTACAAACCCTGAGAGGATAGGAGACAAGACAATCTTGTAAAAATAAATACTTATGTAATGTTTCTATCAAAAGCAGGGCTCTGCTTAGTCATTTTTCCTTCTATTGCAATCATATTGGGGATGGACTAGAAGTCTTCTGAGTTATTCTGCAAAGATAATATGCCTTCAGTCGTCTCTGCTCTCAAGTCGCCAATTTTATTTTTTTCTGTGTATAGACAATTTGACCTGGTTGGGGAAAATGGAGTAACTGGCAAGGGAAAGGTGTGGGTTAAGCTGCCAGAGTAGCTACTGCTGTGTGAATTGAAAGCATCCTTACTTCCCAAGCTTGGGGTAAATGCTGGCAACATTATCATTTCATCCCTAACTCTGAGATGCCAGAATGAATCACAGAACTTCCAGAAGCAAATAATCAGTTCACAGGAGGTGAATTGATTTCTTTCTCCAGCGTCACCCAGTTATTCCAACAGGTTTTCTTTCCCACTATGGAATGAAATTTCACTGCTCCCAGTGCCTTGCTGGATGTTTATCAACCCTCCAAACCCTTCCCTGGTTCCAAAAAGAAAGGGGTTTTCCCTAGTGTCCTCAGTGGCCCAGTAAGGACCAGGCATCTCCATTTGCTTTGCTCTTTCAGCAGTAGCATTGCACCCCTTTATACCTCTGTGAGGATGGAGACCAGCATGATACTCGGTAGGCTAGGAGGAATATCCATATAGTTTGGTTTCCAGAAGTCCCTTCCTGGGCTTCCACTGGGGTGTGTGTGTGTGTGTGTGTGTGTGTGTGTGTGTGTGTGTGTAAACACTTGTTGAAACATTAAAACTGTCTTGGCCAGAAAAAGAGGAACTGAAATAATTGACTGAACAATTGATGAAAAGACTCTGAATCAGGAATAGTACTTTCACAGAGGGTGTTTGGAAACATGTGGAGATGAGATTTTGGGGGTCACACTGCAGAGCCCTGTTAACATTTAATAGGTTGGGACCTAAATGTCCTACAAAGACCACTCACTTATGCTCTTTACATAACAGAAATTTCTCTGAACAAAATGCAAACAACATTCACTGACAAACTTTATGCCCTAAATATAACACAGAGAACAGATAATCAAATTCTCTGTTTTCTTTGCAGATCCGTCCAAGTCCTACCTACTTTTCCAAAACCAACTTAAGTTATTACTTCTCTATACCATTTTTCCAGAATCCTTACATATACCATTGGTGAAGTCAGATACACCTGGTTTGAATCTGTGTTCTGAACTTGTGTTTCTTCTTCTATAAGATGGAGATAATAACAGTCAGGTTGTTTTGAAGATCAGAGAGAGATACTGTGGGAAAGGTCCTGAACACAGGACCCTACACATAACAAATGCTCAATAAGTGTTAGATATTATAGTATAATGGTTTGCCTATTAGTGGCATTTGTGATCTATGAGTTTTTGGATGCTTTTCTAGTATATGCTCTCTGATGCTAACTGCCTAGTTGAAGCTTCGAAAGTGCCTATCAATATAAAGTACTAATTAATATGTTTGTTACTGATGATAGTGGATAATGAAAATATTTCCCTAAATTAAAATAGTACATTTTCATGTAATTTAGTCCCTTAAAATTGGAAACTTTAGTGGAAGTTCGATTACAAATTTAAAGCTTTTATTAGTATGGGTTCCTTTGAACTTTTATTTGGAACTAGATTATTGATTTCTTTCCAAACTATCTGAAAAATTATTAAAAATTAAATTGTCAACTTAAAAAACCTTAAAAATTTCTACATAGTGCTTACATTTACTTTCTATTTAACAAATATGAAATCACACATTAAATACATAAGCTCAATTGATTTATTATAGTAAGCTTTGTGTGCCAACCCACAAACAAATATAACCATGTCTTTTCAACATGTTCAAATATAAGTATAAGCACCTTCCTTTTATTTTTAAAAAATCCTATTTTGATTGTGAGAAAGAGATGACTGATGCAAATTTATTATGTTTCAGCCATATTTCATGGCATTAAACTCCACTTTTTCATCTCAGGGAATCTAGAAACTTACTCTGCAGAATTATTTCTTTGAATTTGGAACACATATTATTCCTGGGAAACTGCATCACCATTGCCAATATGCTGCTGTGACCAGAGACCCAGGAAAGGTTTGTCCTACATATAGTCTCTGCACTGCAGGCCCACAGCTACTTAGAGTACTAGGGTTATTTCCAGCAGAGGACAGAGAATTGAGGGCACTATAACTAGCAGTTACTTTATTCTAACATAAAGGTGAACTCTTGTAAGACTCTGAGAACATTGACCCTCAAAAACATACCTATTGTAGTGCCAAGTGAATGTCCAATGAAATACAATTTCTCCTGACCAGTTTTATTTACAATGAAGTCTATTACTCCTGGGAGATCATATTTGGCCATTTCATCAAAACTGCAAAATAAAACAGGAGCTTTTATAAATACTTGCAAGTTTAAGTTTAAAACTCAGAGTACTTGCTCACTTCTTTTTTACACACTATGCTGTTTACTTAGATTCAGTGTATATCACATTTATTTATCCAATTAAATGCAGGCTATTGAAGCTTTTTGTTTTTCTGCATATATACATTTTACTTCCTCATGAGAGGAGCACTTTCAAGATTGTGTATACTGTTTGAATTCAACCTAGTGATTCCTCCACTTCCCTTCTCTTGCTTCTCTTTGCCCTCCCTTTCCCCATTTAGTTTGTGTGCTTCTATTTCTGACTCCCCCATGAGGATTCACAATTCTTAGTGCCATTTAATACCCATCTTTGGAAACAGGACTGTTGTAAATCATGATTCTACCATTTATGAGCTTTGCAACTCTTGCAAAGTTACTAAAATATTCTGAGCCTATGTTTCCTCATTTGAGAAATAAGCAGGGTAGTACTTGGTTTACAGGGCTGCTAAGAGGGTTTAATAGTAGGAAAGAAATGACTCTGGCTACTAGTAGGCACTAAGTAAGGTGATGGAAGTAGTGGTATTCCTGTCCACGTAGATATATGGATATATATTTAATATATACCAGTATTCCCTATTACCAGTATTTTGTTCTTCAGACAGGAGGAACAAAAAGGCCTATGTAACATTTAATCAAAGCAGGTATTCGATAAACTAGAAGCCCATATAAATTGGGACTTCCAAGAATAGGAGAATTGTTGTGATGTTCCCAAAGACCAGTGATACAATATTTCCTGATGCTTGCCTCTGCCCAGGAACCATAACATTCTACTCTGTTCCTCTATTCCTCTCAAACCCTCAGTGGGTACTAAATATTTTATTACTGTGATAGGAATACACACTGTTCTAGCAGCAGGTTTACAAACCAACAGGGAGCTTAGGCCTGAAGAGAGAGTCTACTGCAGGCATCAGCCTGTCCTCTGGTGACAGCAGAAAACTTTTCCATTAAAATAAACAATTAAGATATCAAAAAGATTCTTCTCCATTGCCCATTTACAAGGTTTTTTAAAACCTAATATTGGAGTTTTCCTGAAAATGATACTATGTGTGATCTCAATCACCGTTTCTCTAAATCAACAGAGTTCTTGTCCAAACCATCCTTGCACAGTTGATTACCCAGGAGAAAAGACTTGTAATATCACTAAAATGAACATAAGCTTTTGAAGTCAGGTTTTGGTCTATTCTCTGTTCGAATGTTCAGAGCCTTGAACAGTGCATATAGTAGTCACTCAGTAAACGCTGGCTGAAAGAATGTACACATTGGTCATGATAATTTTCTGAGCTGTCTCCCTCTTTGGACATACTTTTAATGCATAGAATTGATAGAATTGGATGTTACAATGATCTTGTTGAAATGCCATACTTTGCCTGTGAGACAATCAGTGAAAATCAAAGCTTTTGCTGTTTCCCTCTTTTGAGATGTTAACAGAAACTGCAAGGAGCTATATGACTTCGAAGGTCAAAGATGATTATTAATAGCATGCATGTTATTTTTAAAAAATTGCTTCCAACTTTCCCCTTGAGTTTTCTTAGCTAGTATTTACCTAAAGGCCCAGAATTTCTCATCTGTCTCTGAGAGTGTTTTGTGTCTTCTTGACCAAGTGTTTCCCCGACTGTTTCCCATCCATACATCGTAACCTGCATCTGCTAGAAGAAATCCAAGGCTTCCATTGGCATAATTCTCAAGCCAGTAGGCATTGTCTGCAAACAGGGCATGCTGCATATACACAACTGGACGGGGACCTGGGGGAAGAGGGGGTAGGATGAGACAGGGAGAGAGAGAGAGAAAGAGAAAGAGAGAGTAACTTATGGTAAATAGAACATGTCAGAAACATTACAGAAACACACACACACACACACACACAGTAAAACAAAAACTGTTTTCACTTTTCCCTTGTTAGTAGTATAGAGCATTATAATCACGTAACTTCAGTTTATTGAGCACATACTTTGTACCTAGGTGGTATGTTGACCTATTTATATGTATTAGCTTACTAAATTCTTACAACTAGTCTATAAACTAGCTGCTATTTTGAGAATCCTCATTTTATAGATGTGGAAACCAAACCTTATGTAGTTAAGTAATTTTCCCAGAGGGATGCCCAGGTAAGAAGGCACAGAGCAGGGACTCAAACCCACTTCTTTTTTATGTCAAAGCCTGTACTGGTAACTGCTCTACCCTATATATTTGTATATACAAACTTCCTGGGTGTGGTTTACAAAGACGTGAAATTTATCATGCTTACTCAAGTTCTATAGCTCTTCCAAGGAGGAAGAGGAGGTGAGTGTAATTGGATACTGATTGGTTCCTCACCAAACTTCTATTCAAATCCCCATCCTCTGCCCAGTGCAGAGCATTCAAAAACCACAGTAGTATACTCAGCTCAGTGTCCTTCTGCTAACTTCCAGATTGCTGAGGAAGAGAAGGTATTCAGGGAGATGCAAATAACCGGGGCAGAAGGTCAAGTAAGGCACTATAATTTAATGACTAAGAGCACAGGCTCTGGAGCCAGGATGCCTGGGCTTAAATTCTGGTCTATCAGCTTGCTATATGTGTGCTTCAGGCCTCTTAACATAACCAGTTGTGCCTTAATTTCATCATTTGTGAAATGGTGACTATTAGTGGTACCCATATCATATTGTTTATGAGGGGTTTAACTGATTTAAAATATTTAGAACATTATACCTAATAAATAATCTTTAATTCTAAGTCTTTCCAAAATTATCTCTCCTTAAGCAAAACCTTTCCCATAAGTTTTCTCCTTTTATATTTCATAGCTCCCTCACACCTGTACCTGGGATTGCCAGGTTTAGCAAAAAATAAAAACAAAAATAAGCAAAAAGATCCACGATGCTCTATGAAATTTGGATTTAAGATAAATAGTGACTAACTTTTTAGTATATCCTAAAATGAGACTTATACAAAAATTATTTGTTGCTTATCTGACCTTCAAATTTATCTGGGTGTTTCACATTTTAACTAGTAAAACCATTCATATTGTTCTCATTTTTTATTCTGAAACTGGAGATATAGAAGGGAGAGAATGTCAAACATGACCTCAGCTGCTGCTTAATGTGTATGGTGGGAGAAAAGTTGCAAAATGAACATAGTAAGCAGCTGCCAATAAATTATTTGCTATTGAGCCATTGCAGATATTTTGCTTATTCTTATCTTTCATTCTTCAGAGGCTTTGCAGTTAAATTTTCCATTTTAAGGAATGTCATTCCCCTGCTATGGCATGGCTAGATCCTCATTCTAGAATTCAAGCCTTATTGACACCATACTCTTTCATTCCATGAACCAGTGTGTCCCTTTGATCAAAGTATACGTGAATGTTAAGGTTTTCCATCCTGGCAAACCTTTCAGAAATGCCACTGTCATTTAACTAGATTTTATTTTTATCCTGCAGAGGGAAGCCCCTTCATTTTAGTGGGGGTAGAAGAGGTTCTTCTTGCATGCCCCACAGTCAATTTCATACAACCCAGTAAATATCCTCCTAACAATGAAGAGATCCATTTTCCAGGGACAAAGCAATTTTCCACATGATAAGTCAGTAATGAGCTGACAAAACGTAGGCTCCACCTTTCTGTTTACACCCTAACAAGTACGTCTGGTCACAGTTAGCAAGATCAGTCTTGCTCTTTGTATTTTTAGGTTCTTGTCTGCCTTACAGAGAATTATCAGGAAAAGAGTAAGCCTTCCTGTTAACTATTTAAAGACTAATCCAATAATTCAAACCAATTTTGATAAACTCTGTTGAAGCATATCTAGCACTAAATTCTTCCTGAAAAGGAGGTCAATGCCATCCTGCTTTTCAGGAGAGACATAGCTTGTACCTGTGCTCCTAGCATGTCTTCGCCCATAGGGAATTCTGTTGACAAGCAGTATGTACCCATCTTCAGTGGTGACTTCATACTCTTCACTGGGATAGCCATTGTAGATGATTATTTCACTCTGCCCAGTAAAAATATAGTCATTAGTTGAACTTCTCCAAAGGATATCAAAAGGAATTAAAGCATGTGTTGTGTGCTTATTTGGGTGAATTATCTGAAATTTGTATCACCAGGTAACTGTAAAATTAATTTAATAAATAAAGTCTTAATATGAAATAAGTAGAATGTTTAAAAATATCTACTACTGGCAAATATTTTGGGGGTAGGGGGAACATTTAGCATTGACTCATTCTTTCTGACAAAGCTACATTCTCAAGTCAGTTGTCTTTTGGGACTTCTCTTGGTTTAAAGGTAATAGAACTATAGATCAGTAGAAGGAAATCATATATATCAACAAATAGCTTAATATTCTTAAAATATAAATTCAAAAGTAGAGGTTCTATCTATCTACATAGACAGCAGAATAGCACAATTTTGGTTTTCATTACTAGAAAATATTAGTTTTTCAGCCAAAGGAGCACATCTACCTAGCTTGACTCCTGCAAAGGTTAAAAACCATCTACATTTTTATGTTTCATCAGAGATTTTCTGTTATAACATAACCTTTCGTAACCTCATAATCCATTAATCTTGCTTTATTTTATGTTCTTCAAAGTTTTCCATGACTTACAGTATTCATCCACACCTCAGGATTCACTTCATTTTCCAAATCAACTAATCCACCAGCATTTAAGGTTCCAGAAATCAAACAAGCTGTGGTCAAAAACAGCCACATCATAGAAATGCCTGGCATAAAACATTTAATATTCACAGATTATCAATGCTGATTAATGAAATATCAATGTTAATGAAATAAAATGGTTAATGAAATTATTAATGATTAATGAAAACTTGAATAGCACTGAAAGTAGATAATGTATAAATGGGAATAAATATAATGAACTAACTTGGAGCACTAGTAACCTATGTTTTCATATAGAAGTTGTCTTGATCATATTCCAGTTTCTAAAATGAAATAAATTTGATCAGGTATGGAGGTATTTTATTTTAATCAAGGTTGAATTGCGTTAAGTCTTTGTTTGCCTACAATTTGCCAAAATATCTAAAGATTCAGAGGACAGGTTTTCATACCATGGGCAAGTGAAAAGTGGAGTTATCGCCTAGTTAAACCCAGTATCCCACAAAATAAACAAGAAAAATGGATGAATAAAATTTTAACCAAACAAAAAAGCTTATGATTCATTTCTAGTGATGTGACAATTTATCTTGTGGCACACAAAGGCAAATTTTGCATATCTCAATGTACAGTCTCACTTCCTTGCCATAGTTTAAAAATGTATCTGTTCAAAGGTAGACCAATACTATAACACTACAGCATGCTAATGATATAAGTGCTGCAGTCAAATGGCCTAAATTTGAAGTCCAGCCTCACCACAAAAGAAGATGCCTAACCTCAGGCAAGTATTTTAGTAGCTTTGCCTCTTGGTTTACTTGTTAGTAAAATTAGGACAGCAATGTAACCTATCTCACAGGGTTATAGTGAGGATTAAGTCATATAATACATAACATTTAGTACAGTGTAAGTTCTTAATAAATACTTTCACTATTTTTCTTATAAAAGTGAACGAGAGAGTAATATTAGAGATAATTTAGTATTACAAATTAATATTTAACTTCTAGAAATTCGGAGTTTACTTTTGAAGCTAAATAGCTTTCCATACATTAGCTATCTGGTTGAAGACAATTTTATATCTGCTAATGTTATATAACTTTTCTAATTGTATGAAATTAATAATAACCAATATCTACTGAGTGCTTTCTTACAGTAGGCATTGCTCTAAATAGTTCACATATGTTGTTTAAGTTCCAAAAAACTCCATAAAGTTGGTATTATTATTATCTTCATTTTATCAATGAAAAAAACAAAAGCTTAGAGAGATTTAAGACCTGTTCAAGGTCACAGAACCAACAGGTGATAAATCTAAAATGGACATTCAGGCAGGCTCACTGCAGAGCTCTTGCACCTGATTGCCACTTCCAACTTGCCTCCTGGTTATGACAGATCTTTATCTTACCTAGTTAGATGAGCTTCACTTGCTCCCAAGGACTCCTTATTGATGAGGAACTTCTGAACTTTTGCTTTTGACATCAGGCTGAAGAGTAAGAGATGGTTACAGTGACAGTTAGAAGTTAGAGAGATGAGAATCAAGAAGCTTGTGAAAAAGGAAGAAGCTTTAGACTGAGACACACACCCAAGGCGTGTCCCTGACACACCAAATGCCACAATGCACCTGCAGGTTGAGAAATAGTGATCTACATGATGCCAAATAACCAGTTTGACAGAATCCTTCATGTTTCCACTGAATGTCTGTCACTGTTGGGAGGACTTAGCAACATTTTCAAATCAGTGTGTCAAACAGGGAAGCAGAACATACTCAGGATATTAATGGACGATCAGAGATAATAGTATCTCCCTTCCCCATCTGATCCTTCATGAGGATCAAATGGAATAACATATATTAAAGGACTAGTGTCACACGTGCAGTGTGAAGGGATATGTGTGATTGTAACTCAGTTGAGAAGATGAGGCAACCCTGACTCCTGGATCCTGAAACCAGAAGGAGTTTGGAACTAGCAGCATGGCAGAAGAAACTAGCTTACATACCAAAGGGATTTGTCTTGCTGTCAACTTTGGCACAGTAACCTCTGTTTAAGGCAGTAGTTAAAGGCAGGAATGGAGGCTTGAAGAGATAATGACAATTTAGCTCTAAGCGCCACATGAAATACCAGATAATAGAGGCACATGTGCCTCAGTTTTCTACTTTACTTTGTATGCCTATGGAGCTTAAGCAGTAATTGAATCTCTTTCATCTCCTAGCATGAAGAAGGGTGGGGAAAACTCAGCTGCTACCCAGAATAATATAGGAGTTTCAGTTCTATTATTTTGGATTTATCTTCAAATCCTTTCAAAAAATGATATTTTCTGTTGTCCAAATCCTAAAATCTGTTCGTAGGAGTGAGAAATTTCAAGCCAATTAAACAAATGTGGAGTAAAAGGAAGTGCTCAGCTTGTTGGAACAGAGAAAAGTTATGCACCACTCCTTAATCCTTTAGCCTTGATGAAAGCCTCAGCATGTTTTGCCCTGATTGATAGTATGATGGCATAGGTATATGGATTTTCCTGGAATCTCTCATGGTTTTTAACTTTAAAAACAATCTTTTCTAACAAAACCTTAATGGACTCTTTAGAAAGTTCTAGGAAGCACAGTGTTGCTATTAATAATATTGATTTGTTGCCTTAATATGGAAATAGCACAAATATAATTCAACTTCTCAGGTCTTTACAGATTGTAGACTAGTTCAAATCTTAAAAGAATTTCTACATCATTGATTTATATTCCTTCCTCAACTTTGAATTATTTGAATAATCAGGAAAATTCTTGTAATTCTTTTGTTTGTACAGAAAAAAGGTCATGTCAAAAAGATGAAGCTGAAGTTTCTCATAATGCTCTGTCACTCTTCCTATATAAGCTTGCTATTTTAATAAGTAGTCAATATATTACTGAATATTGTTTTTCTATATTATATATTCTGTATTATTCAATAATACATTCCATATGACATATTTTCTATATAACAGTATGTAGAAAATACATGTTGTATTTCTATTATATATTTCAATACTCATACTGAAATTAATTTAAATGAAAAAATTGAAACTTGTTCCTTGGCCCTGTGGAAGCTACTCTCTAGAAGCTCAAATTTTTCCTGTTTGTTTTTCTTTAAATAAAATTAGATTATAGTAGAGCTAGAAAGTGTTAACCTTTCAGGAGGCTTGTGGTATTTTTGCAGTCTTGGTCCAAGAATCATATTACAGCCTAAGCAAACTGCTTAGTGATGGCTGCCCATTGAATTATGAAGACAGCAAAATAAACGTGGTTGAACATAGATCCTTGACTTTGGGATTGATCTGTTAAAATGATTACTATTTCCCTTCCAATGTTCTAATTCAGAACACATTTGCTATTACAGTGTGGTTATCTTTTTGTTTGTTGGATTGCTTCTTTCTCCCCAAAGGCTGCTTTTTCAAATTTTCTCTTGAAAATAACTAAAAGTTAAAAAGGTTAGGCTATAACCAGCAAAATAGAAACTAATGAGAATTTTGAAAAATAAATAATTTGAACTTCACACTTTTGAGACAAATTTCACCCTACAGTAAAAGACTGTGGATGAACAAGAACCTGGATTTTGTCTCTTGGTCACTAGATAATTTATTTTGCGTCCTAAAATTCAAACAGTATGTAACAGAACCATAAGTGTGCATAAGCATATATGTTTATGTATGTAAAATGATTAATTAGTACCTTTTGGCTTAAGAGAAAATACTTTAATTATGTTTTAAAATTTTACCTCTTTACCCATAAAGCAAAGTTGGCAGTATTCATAATTTCTACAAGAAACAGTATTGTTTTTGAAATTGTGTTAGAGTAGAACATCCTTCCTTTAGTGTCAGTGAAAATGAATCTCTGTTTCAGTGCCATCTATACTACATCCATCTTCAAAAACAGTAATGGCTATAATGGAGAGAAGAGAGAAATGACAAAAGGTCTATCAAACATAATTAACTAAAATATTAAAGATTTTTGAAGAGGCCATAATAAGTTTATTGAACACACATCCATCCCAACTCAAAATGTTTAAAGGAAAAATCACTTACATTTAAAGAGAAATTATTACCAAGAATGCTGGCAGCTGTCCTTGATAACATCCATGTTCTGGAGTGGCAGGATCAGGACTGCCCATGTTTGTGACAAAGGTCAAATCTTTGTGAGAATGAAGGGTAAGGGCCATACCATTGAATATGAGGAAAATTATATTATTTTCCTCCTCCAGAGAAGTTTACTTGCCTCATTTCCTGCTTAATACATAGCATATATGTATGGTATTCTCTACAGCTCATTTTGTATTTGAATTTCTGTAGGAGGCATATTCAAATGTAGATTCTTTTTATTTATTTATTTATTTTTTAAAAAGACATAGGACACTTAGCTAGACATTCGAATTGGATCCAGTTTTAGATTGTCCCATCCAATATGCATGAGTAAATAAATGATGATTGGAATGTGCAAAGAGATAACGTTGGTTGTTTTGATATATGCTCTTGTTTTTTTCCTGAGTTAATATTCTATTTTAAGTTACTGATAAATCACCTTCAATTCTTGCCAGCACCCTGAAAATAGATAAATTGTTTTTAGTGTTACAGTTTCTTGATTTCATTCCTCCTCTAATTACCATCACCATCAAAAACTTTTGCTGAGTGAGTGAATGAGTGATTGAATGGATGATTCGAAAAGTCCAGAGAATGCAGCTTAGTTACTGAAAAATACTAATAATGTTATTATAAATAATAATAGTGAATTATTATTTATTTAGTACTTAGTATGTGTCAAGTATTTTACTTTGATATGCTACCAACTTGGCTATAAATTCCAGTAACTCTCTTTGCTGTTAGGTGTGTTTCAAAGGAAATTTTTCTTGATATTATTTACTAAATTTACTAGAAAACAGAAAATTCACAGGAAAACTTCAGTCTTGTCCTGCTTTTTAAATAAATTGGAAGAGATACATTGTTATTTACAGATTGCCTAGCACATGAATAGAATTTAAAAATTGCTACTTGATAGCAGTTTTTCTATTTTTCAGCCTCCAAATTATCCTTAAACCTGATAACTGCTATAGCACAATCTGATATCTTTTACACAGTCTGTATTCTTTCATTTTTCCATACATTAAAAAAAATCTTATAAAGCAGAGCTATTCCATTTTCTACAAATAACCAGAATTTTTAGGAGATAATTACCTTACTCTTTTCATTATCTCAGCATGGTCCATTAGAAATATCATGTGAACTACATATGTAATTTAAATTTTCTAATGGCCTCATTTTTAGAAAGCATAAAAGGTGAAGTAAAAATTTAAAATAAATTTTATTTAAACCAATGTGTTCAAAATATTATTTCTACATATAATCAATATTATTATTAATAAGATATTTTCTGATATGGTTTGGCTCTGTGTCTCCACCCAAATCTCATCTCAAGGGAGAGACTTGTGTGAGGTGACTGGATCATGGAGGTGGTGTCCCTCATGCTGTTCTCATGATATTGAGTGAGATCTAATTGAGATCTAATGGTTTTATAAGTGTCTGGCATTTCCCCTGCTTGCAATTCTCTCTTGCCTGTCACCATGTAAGACATATTTGCCTCCCCTTCTGCCATGATTGTAAGTTTCCTTAGGCCTTCCCAGCCTTGCAGAACTGTACGTCAATTAAACCCCTCTCCTTTATAAATTACCCGGTTTCAGGAAGTTCTTTATTCTCCACTTCATAGCTATTATCATCATTTAAAATCACATATATGATCTTATCTTTTAAGTAGTCTTGAAAATAAGACTTCAACGATTTTGTTTTCAAAATCCTGTGAGTGGCTAGGAGGGCCTAAAACCAGACTCTGCCTATCCATTTGAGCTCATCTCACCACATTCTTTCTTTGGCTCCTGGGGCTTTTTAAATTTTCTTCATTTAGCCCAGCTCCTCACCACCTGAGCTAGTCCCCTACCTGTAATATCTGGCAGGTATCACAGATCTCAGGCAAAATTTCATGTCTTCAGAGAAGACTTCTCTGTCCACCTTGTTGAGGGTGTGCTTCTTTTTGATGGATTCATCACAATTATAAAATTACAATTAAAATTTAAGTATGTAAATTAGTATAGGTTGACCATTCCTTAGCCAAAAATCCCAAATCTAAAATGCTCCAAAATCCAACATTTTTTAGCACTGACATGACACAAATGAAAAATTCTGTATCTGACCTCATATAATAGGTTATACTTAAAACACAGTCAAAACTTTTTTCATTCACAAAATTATTTAAAATACCATACAAAATTACTTTAAGCCTATGTGTATAAAGTGTATATGAAATGTAGTAAATTTTTTGTTTAGATTTGGATTCTATCCCTAACATATCTTATAATTATATGCAAATATTCCAAAATCCAAAATATGTCTGGTCCTGAGTATTTTGGATATAGAATACTCAAACTATAGCTGTATACTATCTGACATTTTCATTACTCTGAGCTCCACTTGGGCAGGAGCAGT